TGTGGGGTGCACAAGCTTAGGACAGAGGGTCAGGGGAGAACTGTTTATGGGGCAGTCAGAACCACCCAGCAAAAGCCCAAATCTTTTTTTTCTTCTAAGATCTTATCTTATTTGTTTATTTGAGAGAGAGAGTGAGTGCACGGGTGCAAGAGAGAGCTAGAGAGAGCATGAGCAGGGGGAGAGGCAGAGGGAGAAGCAGGCTCCCTGTTGAGCAGGGAGCCCAATGTGAGACTCGATCCCAGAACCCCAAGATCATGACCTGAGCCAAAGCAGACGCTTCACCTACTGAGCCGCCCAGGTGCTCCCAAAACCCAAATCTGATCGTGTCACTTCCCGACTAAAACCAGGTACCTTTAGGATGAAGTCAAACCCCGGGCTGGGCTTCTGAGGCCCTTGGTCACCTGGCTTCTGCTGGCTTTTTCACCTCATCTCTTACCCCCACCCTTCCCCATGCTCCACTCCAGCCTTAATGAAACCAGAGGTGGTTTTCCCCTGGATGGGGTTCTATAAGTTCCTGCCTGTGCCAGGAGGCCATGCCTTCCCCACCAGTACCACTGCCCCTCCCCCAGACCCCAGCTGACAGGTGGTACCAATGGGACCAGCTGCATGAGTGAGGGAGGCTTCTGGAGGCTTTACTCCCAGCCCCAGACCTCAACTGCCGTGAGACACTGCAGAGGAGCAAGAACTGCCCAGCTGAGCCCATTCACTGCCCCCCCCCCCGCCACTGGGGAGCTGATAACACAATACTTATTGTAAGGTCTTATTGTTGTCTTCAGTGGCTAAGTTTCGAGGTTAGCCGTAGGTAACGGGAGTCGATGGAAATAAGGCTAACAGAATGCAGGCCGGCCACACGAGTGCGGCTGCTTCTGTCCAGGTGCTTGTCACACATGATGCTGCACGTTAGATGCGTGATTGCCCCCACCCCAGGCCATTATCACGGGGCTCTGTGATGGGTGGGCGTGGGGTGCCACGGGGACGCAGCACATGGTGGAGCCAGGGCCCCAGAGACAAGGTGGACGCAGCGTTCATTAGCTGGACAGGTATAACGAGGCATGTTTACCTGAGAGGAACCATCTGTGAAACAATAAATCTGCTGGTTTCTATTCTTCTCCCTTTGCAAACTGAGCCCAGCACCAGTCAGAAGACCGCAGCATCTCAATATTGAAATGCTTTGCCTCCTGGAGCTGCTGAGACAGGGAGACACACCGGCAAAGGTAGCCCCGTGACATGATTTTCTCCCTGGAGCCCCAAGTTCTAGAGAGAAATCCAAATGGCCCGGGTACTCATCATGGTCAAGGGCAGCGCAGGGCTCTCCGGTGATGGCGCTGGCACCAGCGTCTGATGACTCCCTGGGACAACCCTCCAAGATGGTCACTATTAGCCCCATGCTGTGGACCTGGGCACCCCTGAGGGGTGGGCCCAGATTTGTGGGTGCTAAAACTTTTTAGTTCGGGAGGGTCCTGGAAGGGAGAGAATGCATATGGCAAGGTGAAGGCCTTGGGCAGGTCGGTGTAGGGCAGAGGCTCCACGGTTGGCTTGTTTAGCTTCCGGGTACAGGCACTTTTGAGCCTGTGAATGACAACCTGTATTCTGAGCCTGAGACCATCAGAGGCAAAGTCCAAGGTCTTCCTGCGACGCAAAGGTCTTCCTGTATGATGGGCAACAGTGTTGGGTCCAAATGGTTGAAGCATCACTTTCCGAGGAGGCGGGTGTGTGGGATGGGCGCTGCAGGGGGTCCCGGCTGCTGTGGGTCCTGCAGCATCTCTGGGGAGCCTGCCCTGTGGTGAGAACCCACAGGTGGTCTGCAGCCACTCGGGGATGGCTCCATCCTCCTGCCTTCTTGTCTCTCCCAGGTTTCACAGATGGGCAAAGCGTATGGTCCAGCCCGTAGCTCCCTCCCGCCACCTCTAAGAGCATTTAAAGGAGGAAGGCAAGGAGAATGAGGTTCTGCTTGCAACAGGTAGCCTTCTCCTCCATCTGAAAGGTAAGAGCGGGCTCCGTCTGGCCAGGCCGAGGCTGTCGGGTCCCTGCGGGGCACCGAGGTGCCTGGAAGCCTGTCTCCCTCCCATGCCCTCTGCGCCCTTGGCCTGTGACTCATGCCTCAAATGCTTCCATTGAAGCAATTCTTCCTTTTATTGTTGGACATTGGTCTCCTCTCGCTCCTCCTCTGGGCCCTCACGCAGGGGAAAATTCAGGGAAACATAACCTGTTTCCACACTGTACTGAGGGACAAGGCTGTGATTGTTATTTTGGTCGACCAGGTCCCAAGCGAGGGGTTTGCAAACAGAATCTCTTGGGTGGGGGCTGTGGTGGGGGGGCTTGTTCAAACACAAATTCCTGAGTCCACTTGAGAGCTTTTATTCCTCACCTGTCCCCCTGGCCCCCCGCCGATGCCGATGGGCACCTGAGGTTGACGAGCCCTGGTCCCAGTCATTGCTAAGAACATTGAAAACCAGGCGTGGGTTCTTTTGGAGACACACCAAAATCAGTGTCTCTGGGAGGAGGTGCAAAACCGCCAGCAGTTCTAGAAGGAAAATGTATGAAGTGTAAGGAGAAAAGAGCTTGGCCCTAACCATGGGCAGCCCCAGACTTAGGGTCTCTTGGAAATAAGTAACTCTGGCTTTTTATTTATTTTTATCTTTTAAAAAAATTTCATTTATTTTGAGTGAGAGAGAAAGAGAGAGGGCATGGTGGGGGGAGGGGAAGAGGGAGAAGCAGAATCCCCGTTGAGCAGGGAGCCCAACATGGGACTTGATCCCAGAACCCCAAGGTCATGAGCTGAGCCGAAGGTCGACGCTCAACTGACCACCCAGGTGCCTCTCTTTTGAAAATTTTATTATTATTATTATTTAACTGTGTTTTTTTAAGCCAAATTGCACCTGGGCCCCGAGCGCCCCCTACCGCATCCCAACCCCCTGAGAACTTGTGGAGGGCGGCATCCTGGGGTGGGGGGGCAGAGAGCATCCGCCTGCCCAGTGATTCAAGATTCCAGAGCAGATAGCGGGGGAGGCAGGTTTTGGATGGGAGAAAGTGTTCTCACATGGGATTCTTCCTTTTATGGTTATAAATAGCTTTATGGAGTTTGAATCCATTGATACACAAGAAGCTACACGTATTTAAAGTGCACAATTTACTGAGGTTTTTTTTTTTTTTTTTTTTTTTTTTTAAGTAATCTCTACACCCAGAGTGGGGCTCGAACTCATGACCCTGAGATCGAACGTCGCAGGCTCTGCTGACCGAGCCAGCCAGGTGCCCCGGATTCACTGCGTTTTGACATCACACGTGCCTAGAAAGCCTTCGCCATTATCAAGATAACAACCCTATGTGGCTACCCAGGGGGTCTTCCCCTGTCCTCCTGGTACCCCTACCCCAGGCAACCATTGATCTTCTCTCTGTTCTCTACCTTCTGCAGAATTTCCTACAATTCTACATGCATGAAATGTGTACTTATTTTATGTCTGCTCCCTCTCCCGCAGCGTCAGGATTTTGAGACTCATTTCCATGGCCTCATGTATCAATAACGTAACCCGTGTCCTGGGATGAGCCCACCTGGCCATGACGGGCCGTCTTCTTCCGCAGGTGGTTGGACTCGATCTGCTACAATTGTGGTTGTGTGTTTGTGTCCATGTGCAGGAGGAATATTGGTCTCTCTACTTTTCTTTCTTTCTTTTTTTGGGGGGTTAATCCCTTCGGTTTTAGTTCCAACATCATACTGGTTTCATACAAGTCGGGAAAAACTCTTTTTCAGTTTTCTGGAGGATTTTTTGTAGAATAAATATTATCTCCTCCTTTGTAGAACTCACTGGTTTTCTCTGAGGGAAGATCTTTCACTGTCAATGCTATTTCCTTGATTGATAAAGACGGCGAATGGAGAGTAGGTAGATAAACAGAGGATAGAGGAAGCTATTCAGGCTCTTGATTTCTTTTTTAGAGAACTTGGATGGTTCGTGTCAACCGAGGTGTTTGTGCATTTCATCTGAATTGTCTAATTTGCGGGCATAAAGTTGTTCATAATATTGCCTTACTATCTTTTTAATATTGCACACTCTTGTTCTTGAGTTTGGTAATTTGTGTCTTTTTTTTCCCCCTCCGGGTCAGTCCAGTGAGAGGTTTATTCATTTCCCCGATCTTCTCAAAGAATCAGCTTTTGGTTTTAATGATTTTAATCTACTGTTTTTTATGTTTCTATTTTGATGATTTCCACTTAAATCATGATTATTTCCTTTCTTCTGGGTTTAATTTGCTCCTCTTTCTTTGGTTTCTTAAAGTGGATGCTTAGGTCATCAATTTGAGATTGTTCTATTTTTTTCTAGTACAGGCGTTTAATGTTATAAGTTTCCCGCAGGTAGTTTTAATGGTATATTTGTCAGCTCACTGTCATAACAAGATACCACAGACTGGGTGGCTTAAAAACAGAATTAATTTTCTCACAGTTCTGCAGGCTAGACAACGGAGATTGAGGTGATTTAGGGCTGATTTCTGAGGAGAGCTCTCTTCCTGGCTTGCAGGCGACCAGTGACCTGCTGGGTCCTCCCACGACCGTTCCTCCACGTGTGTGGAGAGACAGACCTGTGGCATTTCTCTCTCCTCTCAGAAGGACACCACCCTGTCAGGTTAGGGCTCCATACTTATGACCTTGTTTAACCTTGATCCCCTCCCTAAAGGCCCCATCTCCAAATATAGTCACTTTGGGGGTCAAGGCTTCAACCAATGAATTTTGGAGGAACCCAATTCAGCGTGTAACGAAGGGCAACTCCCCCCGCCCAATTCCTAAACAGAATGTATTAATTTTCCTTCAGAAAACTTTGTACTTTCCTCTTTGACATCTTCTTTGATCCACGAGAAGGATACTTAGTTTCCAATCTCCAAATAACAGGACATTTTCCAGATTGTCTTTCTGTTATTGACTTGTGATTTAATTCCACTGTAGCCAGAGAGCAGGCTCTGAGTTACATGAATCCTTTAAAACTTATTAATAACTTGGCAGAGGCTTCTGGGAGCATAAAAGATGACAACAGCAGCTAGGCCAACTTTTGAACCTGCGAGAGGTGGGAGAGGAAAAGGAGAAGGTGATTTGAGCCAACTCTCAAAGCAATATTTGAGTAGATACCTACATACAAAGATAAAATATAGACAAACTACTCAGGATGCCCCTGAAGAGGTTCACAACCGTGACTTCAGGAGAGAGCTGGAAGAGAGAGAGCGAGCTGCTGCAAGAGAAAAAAATAGAGATCGTCCAACACGAGAACATACAACCTCCTCTTCAGTATCAAAGAAACCTCAGTTACACCAGATTCCTGTTGTCAACCTTGATGCAGATGATCCTCTAATGGATGAGGAAGATGAAGATGAAGATTTTGAAGAGCAGAGTGATGATGATGATACTGCAGCTCTTCTTGCAGAAATAGAAAAAAATAAAAAAGAAAGAGCTGAAAAGCTGGCCAGGAAGGAACAAGAACAGAAAGCTGAAGAAGAAAGAATACGTATGGAAAACGTTTTGAGTGGAAACCCTCTCCTTAATCTCACTGGCCCATCCCAGCCTCTGGCCAACTTCGAAGTTAAAAGAAGGTGGGATGATGATGTTGTTTTCAAGAACTGTGCAAAAGGTGTAGATGATCAGAAGAAAGACAGAAGATTTGTAAATGATACACAGCTATCTGAATTTCACAAAAAGTTCATGGAGAAATATATTAAATAGTACAGTTTTATGTGCTTAGTTAAAGACTGTAAGATGTAAACAATCATTCTCACTTTTTTTTAATGTTTTTCTCTTTCCCCATCTAAATTGTGTATAGGCTTCCCTAATTTTAAGTTCCAAAATAACCTGTCCTTTATTAATACCTTATTTGATGAGGATTTGGGAATTGGTTTAACCTAGTTTCCTCGGAATATCTCCAGTCATATGTTTTCCTTTTAATATGGGAAAGGGAATCTTGTAATAAATATTTTCAAAAATCGAAATAACTTAAAAAAAAACTTACTGATAACTTGTTTTCTGTCCAAGCATATGATTTATCTTGATGAATGTTCCATGCACACTTGCAAAGAATGTGTGCTTTTCTGGCTGTTGGGTGAACTGTGCAGTAAGTGCCAGTCAGGTCGAGTTGGTTGATAATGTTGCTCAAGTCTGATGTATTCTTGTTGATGTTCTGTCCACTGAGTCTATCAATTATTGAAAAAAAGTCTTTGAAATCTCCAACTCTAATTATGGATTTCTCTGTTTCTCCTTGCCATTCTAACAGTTTTTGCTTCTCGTATTTTCAGGTTCCGTTACTGAAGTGGGAGAGCTGGGTTCTCGTCTAATGGAGTCAAAGAATGAATCTTGAGAACAATGGAGAGTGAGTAAAGTAATAAAAATTTATTAAGTGAAGATACAGAAAAAGCTCTCAAGAGTGAAAGGGGTCCTGAGAGGGTTGCCTATGAGGATCTTTAGGGTTGGTCTTTTGTAGAAAGCTAAGCAGGGAACTTAAATCCTTTCAACATCTCTATTGATAACAGCTGCCACAAGCTTACTGCCTTCTTGGGATCTGGTTATTCTTTGTTGGTCACAGGCTATTACCATAAAGACACCCCCCAACACACACAACGCACCTCACATGCCTAAGGTATGGTCGTCCAATTTGTCCCCTTATCTCTGGTTCTCCCACACCTCCACATTTTGGGGATTTCCGTGAGCTGGATCACAAAGCCCCCTACCTATCTCTCCCTACCTAGCCCTTACTCATTATTAAGGTCAACAGTGCTTAGGATTCTTACGTCCTTTTAATGAATTAGCACCTTTATCATTACAAAATGATTTACTTCATCACTGGAAATATTTTTTTCTCTGAAATTTAGTTTGATATTAATATAGTCACTTGAGCTATTTTTTGACCAGTGTTGGTATGGAAATGTACTTTTCCTTCCTGTTACCTTTAGTCTCTGAATTTCTCTGTATTTAAACTGCATTTCTTGTAGGCAACAAGTAGTTGGGTTTTGCTTTTTTTTTTTTAAGTTTTTTTTTTTATTTATTTGACAGGCAGAGATCACAAGTAGGCAGAGAGGCAGGCAGAGAGATATGGGGAAGCAGGCTCCCTGCTGAGCAGAGAGCCTGATGCAGGGCTCGATCCCGGGACCCCAGGATCATGACCCAAGCCGAAGGCAGAGGCTTTAACCCATTGAGCCACCCAGGCACCCCTGGATATTGCATTTTAATCCAATCTGACCATCTCTGCCTTTAAATTTGGGTGTTTAGACCACTTACATATAGTGTGATTATTGGTATGGTTTGGTTTAAGTCTATAATCTTGCTATGTTTTTCTTTTTTTTTAATTTAAATTCAATTAGCCAACACATAGTACATCATGAGTTTCAGATGTAGTGTTTAACACTATCAGTTGTGTATAACACCCAGTGCTCTTGCTATGTTTTTCTATTTGTCTACCTATTCTTTGGGTTTTTTTCCTCCTCTTTTTCTGCCTTCTATTGTATTAACTGAGTAACTTTTATGTTTCCATTTTAACTCCTTCAATGAATTTTTATTTATTTGTTTATTTATTTATTTTTCAAGATGTCATTTATCTGAGAGAGAGTATGAGTGGGGGGAGGGGCAGAGGAACAAGCAGACTCGCTGCTGAGTGCAAGATCATGACCTCTGCCTACGAGGTCAGACGTTTCACAGACTGAGCCCCCAGGCGCGCCTCCTTTGTTGGATATTTAGCTGTAAGCCTTTGTTATTCTAGTGGTTGCTTTAGGGTTTACAGTATACATATTTAACATCACACTTTACCTCCATGTGAAGTTATGTCATGTATATTCACATATAGGATAAGAACCTTATAATAATATACTGTCATAGCCCTCCTTGTGGACTTTATGTTGTTGTCATACATGTATTCATAGATGTGTTATAAATCCCACAACACATCATTTTTTGTTTTGTTTAGATAATAAATTATTTTAAAGAATTGTAAACAGTAAGACAAAAATCTTAGCTATTAATTCACTTAGTTAACCTTTCCAGTGCTCTTCCTTCCTTTGTGTAGATCATGTTTTTACCTGAAATCATTTTCCTTCTATATAAATAACAGTCTTTAACATGTTTCGTAGTGAGGATCTGTTAGTAAATTCCTTAAACTTGTGTATGTCTGAAATTATATTTTACTTTCATTAAAAATTATTTTTGCTGGGCATAGACTTCTAGGTTGGCAGGTTTTTTCTTTCAGTAATTTAAAGATGTTGCTCTATTGCCTTCTTGCACACATTTGTTCTGGTGAGAAATCTGCTACCATTTTATCTTTGTCCCTCTGTGCATGACGTGTTTGTTTTCCTCCAGTTGCTTTTAAGATTTTTTCTTTATTAAAGGTTTTGTGCTATTAGCTTACAATATACCTTGATGGAGTTTTTATCCTGTTCTTTGGACTTTGGGTTTGGACTTTGGACCTAGATCTTTGGGTTTATAGTTATCATCAAATTGGCAGATTTAGGGGAATTATTTCTTTAAATTTTTCTGAACCCTTCTCTCTTCTCATTTGGGGATTCTAATTATATGTATGTTAGGCCACTCAAAGTTGTCCCACAGCTTACTGATGTTTTTTCATTAATATATTTTTTTCTTTGTGTTTTATTTTGGGCAGTTTCTGTTGCTATCTTTGAGTTAACTAATCTTTTTTCTTTAATGTCAATTTGCCATTAATTTCATCCAGTGTTCTTTTCATTTCATACATTTTAGTTTAGTTTTTTTTTTTTTTAAGATTTTTATTTATTTATTTGACAGACAGAGATCACAAGTAGGCAGAGAGGTAGGCGGAGAGAGAGGGGAAGCAGGCTCTCCCTGAGCAGAGAGCCTGATGCGGGGCTGGATCCCAGGACCCTGGGATCATGACCTGAGCAGAAGGCAGAGGCTTTAACCCACTGAGCCACCCAGGCACCCCTCAAACATTTTAGTTTTTATCTCTAACAAATTGATTTGAGTCTTTTTTATGTCTGTGTCTCTTTGTAACATTAGAACATATGGAATACAGTTTTAATAACAGTTTTAATATCTTTGTGTACTAATTCTCTTGTCGATCTCAGTTCTGAGTTGATTTTGATGGACTGAGTGGTCTCCTTCTTTTCTTTTTTGTTTTTTAAGAGAAGGAGAGAGGTGAGTGTGTGCAGAGGGAAAGGGAGAGAGAGAATCTCCAGCAGGCTCCATGCAGAGACTGAATGAGGCTTGATCTAACAACCCTGAGATCAGAACCTGCTCTGAAATCAGGAGTTGGGTGCTTCAGAGACTGAGCCACCCAGGTGCCCCAAGTATTCTCCTTCTTCTGTTTTCTGGCTTTTTTTGCATGTCTGGAAATTTTTTTTTTTAAAGATTTTATTTATTTATCTGACAGAGATCACAAGTAGACAGAGAGGCAGGCAGAGAGAGAGAGAGAGAGAGAGAGAGAGAGAGAAGCAGGCTCCCTGCTGAGCAGAGAGCCCGATGTGGGACTCGATCCCAGGACCCTGAGATCATGACCTGAGCCGAAGGCAGCGGCTTAACCCACTGAGTCACCCAGGTGCCCGCATGTCTGGAAATTTTTGATTGGATGCTTGATATTATCCTTTTCATTTGTTGCGTGCTAGATATTTTGTAGTTATAAATGTTCTTGAACTTTGTTTTGGAACACAGTTAAGTTTCTTAGACACAGTTTGATCCTCTCTGGGCTTGCTTTATGATATGTTAGGTGGACACATAATAGCTTCTGTTCTAGGACTAATTATTTCCCACTATCAAGGCAAGGCCTTCTTGAATATTTTACCCAATGCCTTATGAGTTATGAGTTTTCCAAGATACTATTCCCAGCTCAATGTGAATACCAGGCATTTTCACCCTTAGTCCTTTCTGATGGTTCCCTCCACCCACTCTTTGGATTGTTTTCTCAGGAGCATGTGCTAATCAGTTTGCTGCTGAATGCTTGAGGGGGACTCGGCTGATCTCTGGGTTCTGTCTCTCTGCAGCTCTCTCTTTTTGGATATTCCATGCTGAGAGTTATGGCTATATTCTTCTCCTTAGACTCTCTGCTCTGTCTTCTCAACTCGAGAAGTCTGCCAAATTCTGCTGGGTACCCCCTTCCTTGCTGTGGCTTGGAAGTCCTCTCATGAAAGTAAGATTAGGTAATTGTGGGGTTCATGTAGTTTATTCCCACATTCTCAAAGATTATTATGTTTTGTTGTCTGATACCCAATGAATTGAGAACTTTGATTTCACATATTTGGTCCAGTTTATTTCGGTTGTTTCAGGAAGGAGAGTAAATCTAGTCTCTATTCATCTCATTTGTGAGTGAAAGTTTCTACCTTCTTTTAAAATTGAAAATACTCTTCTAATGATAAAATTAGCTCATACTCACTGTAAAAAAAAGTCAGAAAATAACAAAAATATAAAGAAGAACATAAAATCCACTTATCCGTTTGGGTCTAATTTTTGTCACCTTTTTTTTCTGTGCATATGTGTGCATTTGCAGGGTCACAAAGTCACTCACAATACATCAGATGTGCAAAGAAAACAGAGCTTTTTTATTTTCCTACTTCATCTGATCTTTCTTGAGAGGTACCATCTGCTGAGTAATAAGGAGGGGAGAAAAAGAGAGTCCAGTGTAGTGACCTTAGGCTAATACAATAATCCAAACAGTCCTTTGAGAAACTCCTAGTTCTTAGATCAAAATGCATGGTCAGTCAGATTTTTTACAGCCCCCCCCCCACCAACCTCTGTTCCTCTGCTGGAGATAGTGGGGATGTATGGGGTGGGCTGTAGGATTTCTGAGTCCTCTTGGTAGCCAGAAAGAAGGGGTTCTTGGGCCCACACATGTTTTCCAGGTTCTCTCTCAGAAATTGGCTGCGGAATAGTTGGCTTAGGTCCTCCATATAGAATGGTGGCTGCTGAGGGATGATAATAATGGGAGACCAAATCATGTAGGTGTCATATAGGGCTTGTGGGCCATTGTAAGGGCTTTAGCTTT